AAAACCCAGGGTGAGCAGCTGTATCTTTTCTGAAGCTAATTTATAAATAGGGCGCAGGCTAGAACCACATAGCAGGTTTACCCAGAGAATTGCATCACACTGAGGCATTTGCTGGTATGGCTCCCACTGGATTAATGGAATACAGAATATCTGGAACAGTTAATGCATTCGGTACATATTATTCTCTGTTGACTTAAGCAAAGATTATCACAGCAATGACACACAGCGTAGCAATAATGTTACACAACATCAGATTTTTGTGCCTGTCGTAAAAATCCAAATAATGGTGCTGTGTTTCTTGCATTGGGCCTGTAGCTAACAATACATAGACATATACGTTTAAAGTCTTGCAGTGATAATTTGTACTGGTGGAGTGACTTTATAGGGTCTGTTTGCAAACATCTGCTTGTCAGAGTTGCCCAAGAGCAATGGACAAGCAGATCCAATCCACAGAAATGCTGGATACTTGTGCACAGGGAGAAGAAGGGGGAAAAAATCTCTTCAGCATAACCCCAAAAAATGACTGTGGTGCTGTGCTTATTGCTCTTTGGTTGCAGTCCTCTTGCAGCAGCATTTTTTCTCTTATCATCTAAAGTCTGTGTGCGTGCCTCGCTGTGTGTGCTTGTAGGTTAGCGCTGATATTAAAGTGTGCTCTGTGTGCTTCCATGTGTGTATTTGCTCTGGATATGGGCTGATAGTGAACAATTGCATGTGAATGAATGCCCCCAGTTGGCTGTGATTGTCGGGGCGGGTGCTATGGAGCCGTCCTTTAGCAGGGCTGAATGGTTCCCTACGAGGGCCTTTTGTGTGTCCCTGAATAGCCGGGACAACCCAGGGTGTCGTTAGCATACAGAGGTGATCAAGATACCGAGCAGAGATGAAGGCAGAGGCGACATTTCACGCCTGACAAAAATCCAAAACCACAATCAGTAGCACTTGCATCTGATAATGATCTCTCAATAGATTGTTGTGGGTGATGGAGCACAGTTGAAGCCTTCTGTAGGCTGCTTCTTCTCTGTCCTCTAAGCTGTAAAGATTGACTCTTTGACCTCCACGTTCTGCCGTGTCAATCAAGTTGAAGGCAGCGGCATGTGCTCCATCAGCCGAGAATCAGCCTGCCTTGCCCTTGAATCTGTAGATTAGCGCCTTAAAACCTTGCTTTCAATTGTTGGGACAACCCTGTATCCCTGTGAATCCTCTTAGTGACAAGAAACACTTGGTGCTTATAGATCTGCAAAGGGAAAGGTACTAATCCCAGAGCCCTACCCATCTCTATCTGCTCATACACTTCCTCAGTTCACTCCCCAACTCGCCCACTCACTCAGTCAAACCCTAATTTCTAAGCCCTGCAGTAGCAAACTGACTTCAAAGTGGCACAGAACACAGTGAGTCACCTGTGTGTAATTTCAGTGGTGTTCGCTCATTGAAGTCTGATCTGTGCTCTATGACTAACAGTAGGAAGGGATGTCTGATTGAATCTTAGCCCTTATTCTCTGTCCTTTCATTTCCTCAAAGATACCTTCCTGCCACTCGGTTCATCTACAGTTTTCTGTCTCTGTCTGTCTCTCCGTCTTCTCTTCACTGCCTTGGCTGTCTCTTCCTCCAAGCCTGTGCATGTCTCCTGGAGCGATTCCATCGACAGACACACTCTCAGCTCATCCCGGGGATTTAAATAGAGAGGCCTCATCAGGCGAGCCTTGTTCTTACGATGCCAGGCTTTGTCTCTCCGGCTCTGCGTGCGCTCTAATTATCCCGAGTGAGCGGAGTTGCCTCCTTTTTTTTTTTGCAACTGGAAATGCGTGTTTGTGTGTCTGTGTATGCCTTTGAAATGTGTGTGTATGTACGCCTGAATCCTCTTACAGCTCAGCTCATCACATATTTAGTCAGTTTTTCTCTGTGAGAGATTCTCGGCGGCGGGAACTTGGTGCGGAGTGAGTGGGTTCAAATCGACACACTGATGACTGCACACCGCTTAAGTTGCACCAAGCCTCCTGCCATATGTAGGCCAATCTGCACAGCCTCGACAATCCTCCTCGTGCATACGCAGCCAACATGAACGCCACTACACCTGAGTCTGTGTTTTTTCGTCAGTAGCCTGGCTCGGCACGGCTGCATGAGAATTCCTTTTGTCAGTTTATATGCCAGAGTGCTCAGGAATGCATAGCCTGAAGTGCAAACGTCTTGCTGTATTGTGCTGTGAGCAGCTCTCTTCCTGTGATAACGCTATGAGAGTGAAAGAGTGACTGCACACTCCGGCAAGTTCAGTAGACAAAAACATTCCCTTTAATCCCTTTGAAAGGAGCCCTGCCATTTCAGACTTTATTTTTTAATGTGCTTTCTGTTTGAGAATGAGAAGGCAGTCAATGTAGGTGGGTTAAACCCTGTCACCCCCCTACTCTGCGTGTGTGTGTGTCCCTGTGGCTCAGTGAGTCACTCTTGCTGCTTGGGTTTTTCTTCCCATGAATAAAATATCTGGTGTGCTATCTATGAGTTATAGTGCACTTGTACATCTGCCTATGGCCCTGCTTGTCTCTTCCTCAGTCCCTGTC